ATACGAAAACAGGCCCTAAGTAGTTACCCAGCTACACATGCAAGTTTCTGATTAAATATTTAAAAAAATTCCACAGTGGAAGAATACCTGTCAAGTTGTTAGCAGGCTAGCTAGCCATTCTTTAGAACTTTTGTTATTGTGGAAAAGGCTTTGTTTATGGTGTGTGTTTTTTTTTGATATTTGACAACAGATGCTTTAAATTAATGTTGTGCTATGGGTGTTGTTTATACCCTACACCACAAGGTGGTCGGAGTATTATGTCTTTGTGCATTTGTTTGTAACAGGCAAAAGGAAACGAGATAGACCCATAGTTCCTATTGATGATCTGCATAGAATCACATTCTGAGTCGATTTATGCATGTCCGTCCGTCTGTTCATGTATTTTTACAAACAAAGTACAGCTCTCATTTATTGCCCTATCCAGATGAAATTTTGCACAAATCATTTATTTGGGCCAAGGACGAACCCTATTGAAATTGGAGATAATCGGTCAAAATTTAGGCATAGCTCCCATATATATCTTCGTCCGATTTGCCTTTTATTGTGCACCAAAAGTGTAATATCAGTCCGAATGGTATGGAATTTTGCAGGTACGATAAGATGGGACCTGAAAATAAGTATGCCAAATTTGATTGAAATCTGTTCAGATATAGCTATAGCGCCCATATATATTGTTCATCCGATTTGTTATTTTTGTCCTCTGCAGTCGTAATATGCACTCTATAACAACAATATTTGGGGAAATATATCAAATACAGCTCAGAAATACATTTGCTAAATTTTATCGAGATCGGTTCTGATTTGGATATAGCTCTCATATATAACTTCATCCGATTTACCTTTGATTGTGCACCAAACGTCTAATATTTGCCCAAATGGGATGAAATTTGGCACTTACGACCGAACTGAGTTTTGAAGCTAGTATGTCAAATTGAAGATCGGTTCAGATATAGCTATAGCTCCCATATATACTCTTCATCCGATTTGTTGTATTTGTTACCCACAGCCGTAATATGCACTCCGTAACAATGATATTCAGGGAAACATATCAAATACAGCTCAGAAATATTTTTGCCAAATTTTATCGAAATCGGTTCCGATTTGGATATAGCTCCCATATATATTTTTATTCAATTTCAAATTAATTGTGCACCAAATGGGCAATGCAAGTCCGAATTTAAAAGATACAAATGCTTCGGCATATTTAGTCCTTTGAACTTTAAATTATTCTCCCGTAAAAACTTTTAATTGTTATGCGGAGCTCTACTAAATTAGCAAAGTGGGGTAGGGTATCATAATGACTTTAAGACTTTCTTTACTGGTTTTTATATTATCGCCTCATCTCGTAATTAATTACGACTTACAAAAGGATCAAAAAAGTTATGAATTATTGTTGCAATTGTTTAATATTAGTCAAATAAGATAAATATATACATAGTTCTTCAACTAATGATTTTGTCGAAATCAGTCCAGATTTATATATGGCTCTCATATATAAATGTAATTTGACGTAAATAATAAACCGACAGCACTAGAGTTGTCTAATGAGGTTGAATTGTCTTATTAAAAAAAACTCTGCAATGTTTCATCCGATTTTATATTTAAGCCTTCTCCATGTTATATACACATAATAAAGTAATTATATTTCGTATGACAGGTCAAATACAGCTTATAAACATCTCTATGAAACTTGGTGGAAATCGAATAAGATATAGATCCCATATATATGTCCCATATGGTTGTTTCACACAAATCTTTATATATAAAAAAGTAGAAAAATAACTGACTGATTGAGAATCAACGCCCAGATGGAATGACTGAAGTTAGAATCTTGAAATTTAACACTGGGGTCGGTATTGGTGCCACAAAATAGCTGAATTTAAGGGTTTTTGGAAACTCAAGCCTTATTGTTACGAAAAGTTCTAAAATTGTGGTAAACTTCTAAAACGCTACCATTTGGTATTATGTGAACGGATATTCTTGAAATTTGGAAGGTTGGAAATTAAGTTTGATATATGAAGGTGGATTAAGAAATGTGTACTTAGTGTGCGAACTGTACTGAATGGTACTAAATTTGGTTTAGTGAAAGGATGATGGTTTGGAGTGAACGTATGAAGCTAAAATTTTAAAATTTTCCTTGGGGTCCCTGTTGGCGTTTGGTTTGTGACAAAGACGTGGTTTCGGAAATGTTTGTGGTACACATTTCCGCACCAAAAGTACTAAATAGTATTATATTTGGTAGAATTTGAAATTGGGTGAAATTAGGTATTAAGATCGCAGTTCATGTGTAGATTGGAAATATGAAGATGGTTTCGGAGATGTGTATCTGGTATTGGGTGAAGGGATAGAGATAAAATTCAAAGATTTGATACTTAGATTGCTGTTTAAGGTATCTGAAATTGAGATATGGAAGTGGTTTTGAAAATATAATTGTAATTGTAAGAAATGTACTAAATAGCACTAAGTTTGGTATTAAGGAATTTAAAAGAGATGTCAATGTTGGTGTCTGCTGTTAAGATATGGATGGAGGTAGTTTTGAAAATGTGCACTATAATTGTACGAAGAGTACTGAATGATACTGGTACAATTTGGTGTTGAGTGAAATTCGGTATTGGGGTCGGTGTTCATGTGTAGCCTGGACACATGCAGATGTTACGGAAATGTGTACTGTAATAGTACGAAAAGTTCTGAATTGTACAATGTTTGGTATTGGGGGAAAGGATAGAGATACAGTTTTCAAATTTGATATATAGATTACTGATGGCATTTGCGTTTGTGACCTGGTGGTGGTTTCCCAAATGCATTCCATATTTGTACGAAAAGTACTGAATTGTATTATATTATCATTTTCGAATTGGGTGAATTGATAGAGCTGAATCCGTAAAATTTTATATTGCGATAATTGTTGGTGTCTAGAATTCAGATATGGAACAGATTTGAAAATAAGTACTAAAATTATACGAAGAATGCTAATTGTTACTAAATTTTGGTATTGGGTGAAGAAATAGAGCTGGAATCCCGAACTTTTATATTGATATCTCTCTTGATATCTTGTGGTGGGTTTGCCAATGCGTATTTTAATTGTTCGAAAAGTACTGAATGATACTAATTTTGAATCACTGCTGGTGTCCAGGATGGAAAGATGTACATTGTTTTAGATGTGCGTATTAAATGTTGCTAAATTTGGTATTGGGTGAAGTGATAGAGATGAAATTCTGAAATTTGATATTTAGGCACTGTTGGTTTCTCGGGTTCGGATATGTAGACGTTGAAATAGTTTTGGACAGAAAATTTAGATGTGAGTCCATTGTGCAATGGTTTTACTTATATCCTCCTCGGCAAACTTCTAAATGAAAGATTTTGGAGACTTTTTGGTGCAAAAAGTAAATATTTTCCTATTACTCATTCGGAAAAAGGAAAATCTTTGATAAAATAAAAAAAATATAAACAATAAAGAATGAAAATTTAGTACGATGTGTGAAGTTTTGATATAAACGGAACAAGTTGTGCATTTGCAGTACTAAAAACTGATTTTTTAAGGTAGATTTTCACTGAAGAAGTTTTCAATATAAACGTTAATTTGTTACGGGTAGTTCTGTTAAATATGCGTAGCGGTGTAGGGTAACATATAGTCGGGCCCGCAAAGTGGAAATATCGTTAACTGATTTCGATTTTAAGATCATCGATTTTTGACTGCATATTTATACCCTCCACTTTCTATGTTGATGGAATTAAAAGTTTTACAGGGCGAAAACGTTTGCAATAACTCAAAGTATTTATCCTGGACCCATGAACTGAGTTGATTTACATGCCGTAATTATTGCCCGCTCAGAGCTGAAGGCTATTTTTTGGAGATATTCTAAAAAATATTTAAGGGATGAAGTTTACCTAAAACAGAATTTTTTTGTTGGCAGTCGCTTTTCTGGTCACAAGAAAAGACAAATCGAAGCGGAATTTAGCATGGCCTTAGGGTTTAGGCCTGGGCAGAAGCCTAACATTTTGAATCGTCGTCGGCCGAAAGTAATCATGTCTTTCATGTAAACAATGTCGACATTTCCTTCTACCGCGGATATTATTGATAATGGTGAAGGTCACTGCATGGCTGCGGTCAAGAATCAAGTTAAATTCAAGAAATATTCTTTTAGCGAAAGTAGTTTTCATAGAATATTGGTTTCAGAACTTTGAGGATTGTACGTTATAATAACACTACTCGACTTTTAAATTAAGTAATTTAAATATTTTGAGGGATTTGTTCATTTTACAAATTATAGCGGCAAAGAATCACATTATCGGCCCGTCCCGAAAAAAATACAAAAGAATTCGGTTTTAGGGCATTTCATAATTTTGATATTTGCATTACTCGCAGACTTCAATGCTATTTTTAGAAACCTTTCCAAAATCTTATTCATATTTCCCACAATAAAATAATCACGAACGTCAATTTTACCCATCACTGTAGTGAACCAGTTTTTATGGGAAAACTGTCAAATTGTAAACGAATTCAATAGATAAAAGTAAATCGAGCAGCGAACGTGTTTTGAAATTTAAAAATACGCACGACACAAAAGACAAACAAAAATTGAGAGTGATCACGCGAATAAGCAAGCCCCCAAGCGATGAAACAAGAAAGAAACGAAAAAAAAAAAACAAAACGATGATGGGTGGCAGTTGGTAAAGAATGCCAGAACTTAAGGCGACATGAGATCTGAGAGATCACTCTCTTTTAGTTTATTTTAGCTACTACTTAACGCATAGGAATTCATTGTTACTGCGGATCGCAAACCAAGCCCCCCTATAATTATCTCTCAGAATTATTAGCTCCACTCTCAACGAGTTGTGATCTGATATTTATGAGGCTCACCTGTGTGTGAGCATGATTGTCTGTTTGAACTTGTTATTGTTTGTTTACGCTCTCCATAAGTAAATGAACTCTTTAAGTATGTGTGTGTATGTGGGGGATTGGGGTTTTAACGAAACGGGTTCCAAACCACAAAACTTACATTTTTTACTTGTTTTGCCGCAGCAATGTAATTTTGTTGTTGCTGCAAAATATTTCAAGTAATCCCAATTGAGAGTAAACTATTGTGTTTATATTTGAATATTTTTCTCAAATGTTGAACACCCACAGATATATTTTGGGTTTATTTCGTTAATGAAATTCGTTATTTTTCCACTTATTTTTTTATATATTTTTTTCAATTTTAATTGAAAATATTTTCAATAATTAATTTTTTTTTTTTCTAATTTTTGTATTTTCATATTTAGCCATGCGACGGCCCACCACAATTATTAATGTTGCATTCACCCGGTTGCAGGTGTTCACACGTTCTGACGGATACGTTATTCAAGTTATCCGCGCACTTTGACTTTCCAATGTGAACGATACAATAACACTGAACGAAGTGAAAACCCGAATGTGGGGAAGCCAGCCTATGTAGCCAATTGTTTTTGTTTGCATTTGAGTGGTGTGTTGGTGTTGGTGAATGTGTGTGTGCCTGAGCGAGTGGGGAGACAACATGTTGCAGCAACATTTCACAGCTCCCCATTGGCATTCCAACGGAGAACTGTAAAGACTGTCATAGCAGACCAACAATCAACAGGTTGTTGTTGAGCAACATTGGGGTCCAACAAACCCACCAAGCCGAACAAGATTTGTACTAGCAAACGAAGTCATATTCGTCAACTTGAAGTTCGTTGTGTTGCCATTGTCGTCGTTCGTATTCATGGGTGAAATGGATAAATGTAAATAAACAAATCCTAACCTACCACAAACCAAACAAAGCAACGGCGCAGTGGCAGAGACAACAGCAGCAGCATAGCATTGAAAGCAGCAGAGCCATGTGGTCTCGTGGCTGGTGTTTACATTCAATGTAACCAACCGCTCGCCCGCCACATGTAATGGACACGATTGTTGTGTTCTATTCATTTAATGTAAGTTAAAAATTTTGGCGCCAAATTTGTTCACGAACACAAATACATTGATAGCCAGCACAACAAAGAGAGTAGTTGACCAGCATTGTGAGAGAGTGGAATATGTTAACCAATGTTTTACACCCGATGCACTTTTGTTAATTGAAAACACTCGGACGAGAAAAGGGGGTTTATTGTTGGATACACTGCCTTGGGTTGTATCAGGGATGGGAAATATTTTGTTGATGCCGTGTAAATAAGTTTAAGGAGTTTGAAGCATTTTAAAGAGAAAGTTTGAAACCAATTTCAACAGCGCAAATCCAGTTCAAGATTTTTAGGAACATTTTGAGTTATACCTATCACCTACCAATTTGGATATACATCTTTTATTTAAAAAAAAAAGTAAATTTCCATTCAACCGCGACTGTTTTTTATTCCATTCAGCGAAATCACAAATACTCGAAAAGGTCAGTTCTGACCGTTATATTGATGCTGATATCCAAGATATCGCATATATGTATCAAAGAAGATCTGTCAGTTAGACCGCTTAAAAATCAAAAACGGCTGGACGATTTTTGACAATTCTCACCAATTCCGAATGGTCTTTTGGCAGAAAGGAATAACATCTTCCCCCTCGACTATAATATATTGGATAATCTCCTTAGGTCCAAACACATTTTCATCGATTATTTGAAATACAGGGTGAGATAAAAGAAAAAACTGCAACAAAGTCAAACGCCATAATTTTTAATTTTTTAAAAGTCGGAGATAGCATTAAAATTTATATTTAATTTAGATTTGTTCGAATTGGTCACCTTTGGCACGAATTATGGCCTACAAACGGCCAATGAAACCATCACACGCTGCCCGAATGTTTCTCTGCGGTATTTTGGCCCATTCCCGACGAAGCGCTTGATTGAGGTGATCGACGCTTTTGTTTTGCTTTCCAAAATACTCCAGACACAACAGTCCAACGGATTGGTATCCGGAGGTTTTGGTGGCCATTGTACGCTGGAAATGAAGCGAGGAACCTCATTTTGTAACCATTCTTGGTTGGCGCGTACTGAGTGCGATAGTGCTGGGTCCTGTTAGAATGTTCAAGATCTGCGGCCAACCGAGGGTGCACATTTTCAGCTGACCTCTTTGGAAAGTAAACTCCATCATTTTGTCTATCTACAAACTGCTAGACAACGAATTTTTTCTCATCGGATAAAACCAAATTCGAAAGTTCACCACATTCGGCGGTGTAAGTTGCGGTGTAAGTTCTTGCACGATTTGGAATTTCAATGGCTTTACCCCGAGCTCATTTTCCAATATTCGATCAAGTCGCTTCTTCGCTTTTCGAACCATTTCTGCTGATGTTGCTGTTTTCTTCCGTCCACTTCTTTGACGTCGGGCTACGCTACCGGTATCACGGTAACGATTGATGGTACGAGACACAAAAGATCTACTCACATTTTAATGCTGGAAAGCTCTAACGATAGCCACTTGTGGTTTTCCAGCCAAATATTGAGAAATCACACTGTCACGCTTAAATTCCATCACGAATAATTTTTTTTTTGTAAAATTCTTACCAAAATGTTGTTGCACGCTTGTAAACAATGTAATGAACTGTCGCTGGAAAAATTTTAACAGCTGTCGGACGAGTGACTTAAAAAAGCTAGCAGTGACAAGTTGGTTGCAGTTTTTTCAATCGTACGTGGAGTGGGAGGTGAATCTAGATTTAAGTCCTACCACGAACTACTCAAGATCCAAGGAGACACAATCGACAGCATGTTGAACTGGCCCGTGCAAGGTACAAGCTATGTGCAATAAATTGGAATGTAGGAGCCGGGTCTTCAACGCACTAGCCTGAAGCACGTGAGATACGGACAAGCAGACATTGTTGACCTCTTACAATGTGATAGTTCAGTCTATGGTCAGCTATGCAGTACAAGTGCTATACAGTAGAAGAATATCCACACCTGCCTGAATGCTGCACTAAAAAACAACAGGGAGCCTACTCATGACACCGTTGGAACCAGACCTTTAATGTACGTCATTGCAATAGGCTTTCGTTGCAGTATTTGCTTGGGTATTATCGCAGGAGGTATCCAAACCACTACGTATTGGAAAAGTAGCATTCGAACTGTGACTGCACCACAAATGTCATGAACAACTACAGTATGAATGCCACGGAGTCCACCCTCATCTATTGTAGCTGAATAAGGTAGGCTGCCTAGACAAACAAAGCTGTCCACTTAGTATTGCGCACGAATTGATGAAGTTGTACGAAACGTATGCCCAACATATTATACCTACACTACTAGCCGAACCTGTAGTTATAATCGGATTAGCAGAGATCCAACCCTCACGTATAGCTGCTACGACGACAACTTACAAATCAATCTACTAACTTAATACTTTAATAGACAATAAGTAATTATTCTGTAGTCACTAAAAGTCAGCAATCCTCCTTTTCCCGCTGCTGCTACTGATATACCTAATGTCATCAATCCTCCTTTTCCCGCTGCTGCTACTGATATACCTAATGTTGGTAGTTAATAACAGTATATACTGCGCCACGGTTCTGAACACAACCGTCTTATCTTTTCTTTTTTTTAGTTCATTTGTCGATGATCTCTCCCGAAATCACAACCTTCGGCTTATAGTCGGATTCACACACTTCGTGCCAATAATATTCATTACATGGTAATTAGGAGAGAGTGTCTTTTTGCGAAAGGTACACATTACCGTTTAATGGGTTATTTCACTCATTTAGCTCCCAAGGTTTTACTAGAATAAAGGCTTTTCAATGTATTGCTACAAAGAATATAAAAACAGTTTCCTCGTAGAAATTTGCCTCTCGGAGCTACACTATGCGATTTCATTATGAAATGGAATTACCCATCTCTGACTGTTAAATGTATTGTCTGCGAATTCATATCTTAGCTTTTACATTTTCATTTTCCTCCGACTGTCTGTTGCATTGCGTTGGCATTATCTACAAAATTTCCTGCATTTGCAGTAACCACAGACAGTCAATACTTCCCGCTCTCTCCATTTAATGTCTAATTTTGAGTTCACGTGCATATATGTGATGGTTTACACATGTGTCATAGATCATAGGCCAAAAAGTTAATGATAATTGTCGTCTAACACTCTCTAAACCAAGGAAGAGAAATTTTCCATACAAAGTACTTTCTTGTTGCGATAATTGTTGAAGTCTTGTCATTTTAATGTTGACATAATATTTTATCAAAAAAGGAAAAAAAAAATATATATATGGAGATAGCAATAAAGTATTTATGTTATAGTGACTTGAGTTGAGTCGACACACAAGATAAGCAAATATGTATGTTAACGTTGTCTCATATCATTGTTAATATCAATAGCAATCTACAAGTTATTTTGTTGATAAGTAATGTCATCCTCTATTTCTGAGAATTTGTTGTTGGTTTTGTAAAGTGGTTTGGCCATCAAATGTACTTTATACATTTGTATCTTTTATGGAACATATAAATTCAAGGAACATATGAAATCAAGGTCTATAAAATGCATTTTCGATATTTAAAGCACATTTGATCTAATTTGACGGTTGGAAACTATTTGTTAAACCTTGAATATACATAATCTCTATTCGAATCACAACACGAAAGCATATTCACTACAAGTTAGAATTTCGAAATTTTAGAGGCACATAATCCCATAGAACACCTTATATGTTGGAGAACATTCGATAACGTCAACAAAAGTGGTCTGTGCTATAACCTAACTTGTTATAGATTAATATATATTCCCAAGTCGGATATCATAACTGGATCTGTCCAAAAGAAATAATTGTCACTCGCTTCTTTTTAATTTAGTGAATATATAATGCCCTCACGATAGAAAAAAAAACATTATCTTTAATACCAAATAATATAATAATTAATACCAAATTTGAAACATTTCCGTGAAAAATATGTGCCTAAAATCATCAAAATACCGACCATCGGGAGGTGCCGTTACATTTGAGCTACAGGAAAACGTAGACCTATATTACGAATGTTCTCCCATCAGATTTAGAACCCGTTACAAATTCCTAATGCCAAATTTGGAACAATTCTGTGAAAAAATGTGGCTAAAATTATCTAAATACCGAATATCGGGTGGTACAGTTAAATCGGGACCACCGTAAAACCTTTCAAGGCAATATTCTGCCACCCTTAATACTAAATTTGGATCAATACCGTTGAAAAATGTGCCCGAATCACCAAAAATCTGAATATCGAGAGGTATCATTATATGGAGGCTATAAGCAAATGTACACCGATATATCTCATTTTCAATACCGACCATCCGAGACACAATACAAATAGTTTTATCAAATTTTGGAGCTCTACATCAAGTAGACATATACGACGAATATTTACAGGTTTTACAAACAGAATGACAAATTTAATATAATCTTCCTTCTATGGTGGAGGGTATAATAAAATATTGTTTTTACCCTCAGTCATATTAT